TGCTGCTGTCCTCCTTTCTTACCGATTTCTTCATTCTTCATCTTCACTTTGTTGCAACTCCCATCCCCTTCCTTTGCAAGCACCAACGTATCTAACCGAGTACAAGTACTCTTCACTCCCTACGCCTCTCACTGGGGAGAGAAAAACACACCCAGAAGTTATGTCAGGGGAGAGCTAACACATTTAGAGCAGACAGAGCAATACGATAAAGAGGCTTCCCATTACAAAAAATGCAACTAACTGGCAACATCTCTTCCTGTACACTAAATTTTCTAGTTTGGCTAAAATTTCCAGCTCTGTACCTGTAGCTATTTGGAACAAACTGAAACACAAAAAGATTAAAAACAATACTTTTAAAATGTTACTTCAGTGTAGTAACACAATATGAGGAAATAATGTGCAACTTTTCATAGCACAGCTATCGGGGACTTCAGCCTAGAACAGCACGAGCGATAACAAGAAAACAACCAAATAAAAAACCCATGATAGCCTAAGATTAAGACAATATATCACATTTAATTATACATCACATCTAATTTCATAGGAAACAAACCTGCAACTGGATGGCCCTGTTATCTCCCCATCTCTTTCAAAACAAAGGATCGAGATTGCTTTTAAAGAAGATTTTGCAAAAACACGAGTTTACTAAATAGAAAACGTTCTGAAAATTAGCAGGCTGTTCCTGCATGCGACTTCTGAGTGCTGAGAACRGAAAGAATTCCCAGTCCTAGAGAGCTCAAGGGTTAGGTGTAGGCAAGGCAAGAGACTGGTCCAGAGCACACAATATAGGCCCAGTGCATTAGTAGCTACTTGTTCTAAATTTTGGAATTTAAGGAAAGCTTTAGAAAATATGAGAGRTAGTTCTTTTAGGTACATATCCTTATGTACTTAGTTTTGGTAAATGGAGAATGGTTAAGCATGGGACAGGGTAGACCAGCCAGTTACAATGTATGTTTAAATATTTAATTAGTTGAAAAACAGATCTGACTACACCAAAGAAGCTGGCAATTAGAACACTGAGTGCCTTGAATATAAAAACGTTTTTCTTTAATGACAGAAGCCCTCACAAAATCTTATCACAGAATGGTTAAGGTCGGAAGGGACCACTAGAGATCATCCAGTCCAACCCCCTGCTCCAGCAGGGACACCTACAGCACACAGCACAGGGTGGTATCCAGGTGGGTTTTGAAGACCTCCAGTGAAGGCAACTCCACAACCTCCCTGGGCAGCCTGTTCTAGGGATTGGGCACCTTCATAGTGAAGAAGCTCTTCTTCACATGCAGATGGAATTTCCTATGTTTCAGCTTACACCCATTGCCCTTTGTCCTTATCTTCCTTAATCTACCAAATGAAAAAAAAAAAAAAAAAAAAAGTGTTTCCAAATACTTAGGAGGAGCTTGCAAACAAGTGTGAATATAGCAGTTAAAACTGCTTCCCTAAAATAAAAGGATGTTGCCATGGGGTAACGTGAATGAGGTGCAACACTCTCTCCGAAGCAATGAAAGCTCAGAGCTCTCCTGGAGCTTAGCTCTCCTCTCAGGATGGGAAGGTTTATCCATGGAACAAGAGTGATTTCTGGGTGGTTTGCACTTCCTAGCTTTTCCACCATTACTTTTACAGACTTTCTAGTTCTTTTTATCTGCAGGTTCCCAGAACTGCTCACTACAGAATGAGAAATAACTCCCAAACTACCTCTTAATCTTCCCGCCTCAGCTTCAGTTACAAGTTTTGGCAAATAATGACAAGTTTACAGAGCGTTCATCTGGCTTGCCTGCGGAGAAGGTAGATTCCTGTAAAGCTAGTGACAAGCACCCGGGAACAGGAACTAGTTTCATTATCACAACTGAATAGGAGGAAAAAATAATTTTAAAAAGCCTACCCTAAGTTTAATTCTTTACGTGAGGACCGTTTCATCCCCTCTGTTGATTCAAAATGGAAAAACATCCTCATGAAGTTCACAACTTAGTTAACACAGTGAGCTATATAGCYGTCTCTTTATGTTACAAGTTATTAAAAGGATATCAGGATATAGAATGAGGAATTTACARTCGTGTAGATTTAAAAGGGTATCTGCCATGGTCCAAAAGTTATTAGGAACGTCCCTGATAGCAAAAGCCCTTAATTTTGTCTGAAGTGCTAGAAACATCCACTATGTGCTAAAAACCTTGGCTGTTCCAGAGCAGTTGCCCAACTACCTTCCCACTCCTTTGCTATTCCTTCCCAYGTGATCAGTCTATAAAATGGGAAAAACACACAATAATTAAAAGGTAAGTTTCCGTTAAGTGATATGTATAACATTAAAAAAACAAACTCCGCGAATACTAACATGCTTCCTAGAGGGCATTCTTACTGTCCCAGAACCACCATCTTCTTGGGTTTAAACCTACCACACCTGCACAGCCAGCTTGCTGCAATGCACAACTTGAGACTTGCAGGCCTGATCACATCACCAGTTATTAAAATATATATATATATACACACACACACACAGACTGCATCTACTCAGTAACCAGGACAAGAAACATTTTAGGATACCATTTCCCAGTGCATCTACTTTCAAATACTTTGCCGTCTGCCCTGCCATATAATCCACAGGATCGTGATGGTATCAAACATTAACAGGTATTACTACCCAGCCACAGTTTCTTAATATTTACTGTTGCTGGAATGTTCTTGTCACAATCTTTTCAGCTGATATACAGAAAAAAGGCTGCAATCATTAAAACAGAGTACATTATAAAAGGAAATCTTTGAATAGTCTACAAAGAAAAGTTAGCTGAGAGGCAGGGAAGGCATAAATTTCCCAAATTTGCTATTATTCCAGTTGTTACTATTTGATTCTTCACCCTTTTCTATTTTGTTTCTGTGTGCACTTATCTACACCAAGTGCTGATGGACTCTGTCAGTTCCTTCTATTATAGTTCTCTGTGGTTCAGTGTTCCATATATCTGACCGACTGTGGACAGTTTTTTCTTTCTTGGAAAAAAAAACAGGTAGAAACTATGTGCTAAGCAGAAAAAAATATCTTAAATTGACCATTCTTGCCMTTCTCTCCTGTAAAATTAAGAACTTTTATCCCTACGTTTAGTCACTTTTGTTGTTTCAAGAATCTAAGTTGACTAAGCTCCTTCATCTGTTGTTTGCTTTATGGCAAAAAGAAAAAGTTAGAAAACTTCTGATATTTCCAGAAGATCTTGCAAGAACACAGGACTGGAAAAGACCATAAAACTATTTAAGTTTAGCCATAATTTATCAGTGCAAACCTATTTAAACATGAGATCAGAAACCCACAGGAGAATGAGAAATACTTAGGAGAAGTTAAATATCATAAATTATGATAAATATTATGTAAATTATAATACCAAATATAATCTCATATGTCATTTCAATTATAAATTCAAATCTTTATCTCCAAATAATGTTATTTTGGAATCACAAGGCAAAAAAAATAGCAGCATGATAGCMCTTATTTTGTTGAATGACATTAGTAAAAGAATCAGATTGTGAGCCAAGTTAATTCTGAGGAAAAAAAAAAGTATGGGAAACTTTTTCCTCACTGGGAAAGCTCCTCCTTGTTGCTGTCTGATGCAGTCTGTAACGGTGAGGGCAGCGTCTGCACCGGAGCCTGCTTCGTCTGTGCTGATATTTCACACAGTGACAAGGGCAGGATGGCCAGAGAATTCTTTACCTTTTCTTTTTAAAAAAAGGCACTAGGAAACTCTACGTGAAGAGACTTATTTGTCAGCATTATTGTAGCTGCATCAGAATTTGTCACTCGTGACCCACGAGCGCTGGCCAGAAGTGCAGGAATAGAGTGAACGTCTGCTACACTCTTGTAGAAGAGCTTTACGGAACCACAGAAAGGGGACCATATTCATATATCATACATCATATAAGGGGTTGTGCACAACTCTACTGGATCCTAGCACTGAAGGATGAGATCCTGTAACAGGCAGGCAGCAAAACTTGACATCCCAAACACCTAGGCAGGAGCTCTGCTCCCGAGCAAGACCACAGTGATAGAGTGGGCACAAACTAGGAAGGCAAATGAAGACAAGAATCGTGATAACGCTCAGCAGCAGACACTGTGGAGGGCTGAAACGGGACAACAGGGGCAAGGTGTTGGCCTGGGAAAGCTCTCTGCAGCAGCAGCACCCTAGCAGCTGGAAGAACAACAACACGATGGGGTCAAAGGACTGATGCTGCAGGAAGCGCCACGCGGAATGACGAGTCTGGGGAAGGCTTCACAAGAGCCCACAGCACAGGCCGTGCAGAGCTGCCCCAGAGCCACACGTCCCYGTTACTGCCCCAGCCCCTAATCACCCTCTTCCCAGCCTCCCTTTATAGGGAGGTCCTTTATAGAACCCGTCATGACAGCAGCACGGCAGCCCTTCTAGATGGATTCCTCTCTAATCCAAAGCTTGCTCCGAAGCAACACAGTCTTAAAACAGTATCTTAACACAACCCAGCTCTTCAGTCCAGCCTCTCCCAAATTCCCAAACCTGGAACTCGCCAGCATCAGGACATCACCCCTGGCAACTCCACTGGCACAGCACACCACAGCTTTAGGAGAAAGAGAAAGGAAAACCAAAAGTACGCGGCCCGTCTTCAGGGCAGAAACGCCCAGCTACTGCTCAAATTCTGACTACTATCTCTCCTTCTATTAGAAGTATTGCCTCAAGCACCACAGAAACAACGTGCAATGTCTCCATAACAATATTCATCAAGCTCCACCTCTCCTAGATAAGAGATCTCCTGAGATAAGATTCCTACCACTATTTGGATTTTCTTTCCAAGAGAGAATTGTCTTGCATAGGAGTACTTTGTACATGTTAATACCTCCCTGAAAACAGAGAAATCAACAGTGAGCACCTACAGTTTGTCATTAAAGAAAAACTTTGATATAAATTATGTGAGTGGGAGCAAACACGCATATGAAATCAGTTAGGCAACGCAAGATTTTAAAGTCAATGCTACAGGACAGACACAACAGACATTACCTGAATCACACAGAGAATCCGCTCAAGGCAACTTCCACTTCCCTGGGCTTGGCTCCCTCCTCAAACATGTAAAGACAATCTAAGAATGAATGAATAAATAAGGAAATAAGAATGAATGAATAAGTAAGTAAATAGGGAGATGGGGGAAGGTTCTACAAAAAAAAGATAAGCATAATAATGCTACTGTTCTGTTTAGGTTAGAGTTCAGATCCTATATGATCAAATTTTTTACTTCAAAAAAGCTCCAAACGTCAAAACCAATATATCAAGTTTACCACTATTCCAAAATGAATTATATGTAGAGCCTCCAGCCATTTTCTACGTTTCTTAAGGGCAAACTACATATAAATGGACAAAATCAGCTCTGGATAGCTTTAACCAAGGCCCCTCAAATCAAATGCCACATCAATTTTCACTGTAATACCTGGAGAAACCGGGGAAGAGAAGACTTGGTTTTGTTCTCCTGGAGGAAAGCGTTATTAAAACACCTCCCTCCTAATTCGCGGGGTAAATTTGAACAACCAAGGCGTTTTGGGTGGATATCTACGCTATTTTCACCCCGATTTTGCCACCCGTTGGTTAAACGGAAGCGGAGGGAAGCAGCGCGCGGCCGCAAAGGCCTCCGCGGGCGGCGGTGCCCGGGCAGGAGCCGCTCCCCAGCGTATGCGCGGCCGCCCCCGGCSCCCACAGCGCCCGCAGCCCTCGCGGCCCCCACAGCGGCCCGGCCGGCACCTCCTCGGGGGGCACCGGGGCCCGCCCGCTGCTTCGCGCCCCCAGCACTCACGTCTCCCGGGGGCTGCGGCCGGGGGCCACCGGCTCGGCTCGGCTGGACTAGGTCGGGTCRGACCGGGTCGGACCGGGTCGGGTTCGGCTCCCCCGCTACCGCCCGCGCTGTCGCTCGCCGCTCGCCTCAGCCGCTCCGCTCCAACGGTCCCGGCCGCCTCGCGGCCAATCAGAGAGCGCCTCGGCGGGGGGCGCGCGCCCGCCCGCCAATCCCAGCCCGCGCCCGCCTGCCCTCGCTCTGGGGTTCTTAGCCAATCCACAGGCAAAACCTGCAAGCCCCGCCCTCCTGCGGAGCGCGACGCTGCTTGGCAGCCAATCGCGCGGCGGGAGCCCCTTCCCCCCCTCCCCTTTCTCTTCCCTTTGGCCAATAAGCGGCCGCCGGTCTGTAGACACGCGCGCGCTCTCGGCCCTCGCGCGCGCGCCCGTTCCCGCCCACGGAGGCGCCGCGCAGGCGCAGAGCGCGCTCGCGGGCGGCCCCGCCCCGCCCGCGGGCTGCCCTGAGGGGAGCCGCCCCCGCCATGACGGGCGGCCGTTGGAGCCGTTAAAACCGCCCAGCTCTCGGTTCCTCCATCCCCTAAAAATAACGGTCTCCGCAGGCAACAGTCTCCCCCGCGCCGTTCTTTGACTGTCAGTCTCGCGTAGCGCTGTTCCTGGCAGGCATCCCGGTTCCAATGTTGCCAGCCGGTTGTGCCTCTCCAGAGGAAGACGAGGAAGACGGGCATCTGTGCTGAAATATGTGTCCCGCCTGCCTCCGTCTGGCTCCCTCTTGAGAAAGGCCRTGGTTCCCCTTGCGAGATAGCGTCCTGTTTTTAGAGGAAAGTCATGTTTTTAYGGGAAAGCGGTAGGGGTGTTAGGTTGTGCGTGGAGAGCTGGGTGGTGCCTGTAGTTGAGGAGACACCTAGTCCTGTGGGAAGATGGGCAGTATGAGAGGGAAAAAAACATAAAAAAGAATTGTTTTGTGCTTAACCACCATAGCTAGGGCGGTGTTGAGGTTTTTTCTGAGCTAGATGTAGGAAAGAGCTCCCCTAAGGCTGTTCTTCCTTGGATGGGCAGTACAATCATCATCTTAATGCCATGGTGGACACCAAGGCCAGCCYGAGGCCAAGGATCTCCAGCTGGGCTTTGCTGGAATTAAACGCCTGTCCGAYGGGTCTGTCTGTCGGAAAAGAGTGGGAACAGTGGGAAACTGTGCGGGAAACGCCACRGCAGAGCCAGAGGAGATTCCCATCGGGAACGGCTTGCCATCCTCTTTCAGGTTAGGACATGGGCATCAGGAACCTGGCTGGCTGAGCTGGATGAGGCGGCAGTAGATCTTGYTCAACAGGGTGTCAATGGCAGTGAAAATGCAAGGGTGAGCTCCATGGTTTGGTGAGTATGAACAGCAAATCCATGTTGGAGATAGGTGGAAAACAAGACACATTTAAAGGTCTTCCATCAGTGTGAAGATAACCCTGCTAGCAGGGTTCATGCCACCCAAATCTGGAAATCTAAATATTAGCTACTTAAGTCTCACCTAGGTGCCCTAGGATCCCTTCAGAATTCATTGTAAGAAATAGTTAAAACAGTTTTCTCTCTCCAGGGACTGCTTTTCTGGTTTGTTTTATTATTTTTTATTTTTTTTTAAAGGTGGCGACAATATATATCTATATAATTTCTTTTACCTCGTCTTCTGATGTCCAGACCATTGGTTTCCTCAGCACGGGTAGAATTTGTGTAGTGCTAACATGCAGTAACCAAATGAATACGCACATACTTGAATTTTTCTAGCAACTCAAATGAGATCTAGCACTACCACTCTTAGTGAAATACYTTTATAGCGTTATAAATGGCTGGAAAAACTTTCAATCATCAGTAACCTATGAGCAATTTTCACTAAAAGTTTCTTTTCCTAATGTTGGGAAAGCACGTGGAGAGCTCGGTGCTGAATTACACAAACAAATCTGCTTCCCCTTCACGTGCCCCTTTGCACAAATTCTCATTGTCTTTGTGGGCAAGGGATGTGGCCACCAGGAGGAGAATAAGCCTATTCCTAGGCAGATAATCCTTAATTCCAAATGCTGTTCTCCTGAAATTCCAGCACATGGATCGCAGTGGATCACGTGGAGCCGCTTTTCCGGGCTCACGGCGCTGCCCCTCTGCCAAAACAGCTACGTGTAAAAGCGGATCTATCCCATTCGTGGCACCAGATTTTAAAAAGGAATGAATTTGGGCATTGGACATGTTTTTTATTGAGGTCYTTCCAGCTTCAGCATCTGTATACATTGATTCCCCGTTTAACCAAATCCCACGTAATTAGACCCATTCTGACTAATATCCATAGTCCGGCTCCAAGTGCAATGGGGAATTTGGGGCTGTTTGGTCCTTTCTGCCGTTTCCTTGGCTTCTGACCTCTCCATGGCCRGGGATGGCTCCAGGGCTCTCCCATTCCCTTTGGTTTCCTGCTTTGTGCTGGATTAAGGCCCAGTTTACCAAGGCTGACCCTGAAAGCACCCTCAAAACAAGCAGGGCCTATTCACACACAGGTGAAACCCCCCGAAACCAGCCTGGGCGGGTGGGATTTTTCCGCTATTATTATAGTCCGCTATTATTTTCCGCTAAATAACTTGAATAGTAACTTGAATTCCTCCCTTGAACTGATGGATTTATCCTCTTGATTGATTTATCCTCTTCCCTTAGTGCCCTCTTGGTTGCAGAGCTCCCCTGCCTCTTGCTGCTGCTCTCACCGTGTGGTTGGCCTCCCCTGGTTTTGTCCCTATTTCTGATGTTTTTAATGGTTCTGAGCGAGCTGGCTGGTTTTGCACTTTATTTTGTGATTATTAAACATGCTGTTTTTCAGTCAAATCGATGTCTTCCTTCCTCACCCACTCTGGCATTACACCATTCACTTCTCCATGGGCTCCTGTATCCCGGCTCCCYGTGGACCTGGGCTGTTGGTTTTGTTCAAAACTTCTCCTTCTGCAATAAGCCCTCAAATAATTTCTGTTTTCCTCAGATTTGCTTCTTTTCAGGAATTCTTGTTGCTTTTAAATATTTATTTCCCCAGAACCTGCATTTGTGTCTTCCTGTTCTTCTTCTACATTCCTTTTGTGAAAGGAAATGCTGAGTGGTATCATGGGGATAATCTTTGTAAGAAAATAGAAGACTAATGTTCCGGATGTAGCTATTAATGACTTAGTGCTTGCAATTATATGATTTGTGCGGGCCTGCTTTAATCGTATTAATGTGACTTTGAAGCCGTTCTGGACGGTGCATGTCACCTAATTGTGGATAGATATTATTGAAAGTCAGCTTGCTAATTTGGGATAATGAAGGTAGTCAGGAATAACCAGTGGGTTTTRCGCTCTAGCTTCTGAGAGGAAGCTGTTCTTTTATTTTTTTATTTATTGTTTTGTTATTTTATTTATTTTTTCCTAATGACCAAAGAAGTCGCAGCTTTAGCGCCTGACAAGTCCTCCCACATTGGAAGAGACCTGGAGCAGAGAGTTGGTTTCATTTTCCAACCACGCAAAACTAAGGGCAATTTTAAAGACAAAATATCTGCTAGGACTATTCTCGTCGTTTTACCCGTAAATAGTAATTACGAAAATGAGTTTTGGACGATTTCAGGCAGAAAGGAGAAAGATTTGGGTTGTTTGCTAGCTCCTGAGTGGGCCCTTTGCTCTTCCTGCCGATGCTCCAGCTCAGTTATCGTGGTGTGAGGCTTCGCTGCAGCCCTTTCACGTTGCGGCTGGCAATTCATGAGCTTTTTGCAGCCTTGCCCTCGGCATCACCTCCGGCTTCTCCCTGTTCTCCGTATCTCACCTGCAACCTGTGGATAACCCTTGGTGCATCTTCGTGYCTTGTACGGTCCCCGGTGAGGGTGGGCAGCGCTGGTAGATGCTGCCGTCGCGCTGTGCGTTACTCTCTTGTGTCTCTTCACTGTTATCCCTAATTCTGGAATGCTTTTCTGCTGCAGCTTAGGGTTGCATTGGCCCTGCCTCGTTCTTCCCAAGCTCTGCAGCTTTCCTCAGCTTTCTCACACAGTTGTTCCAGGGACGGGACACGGCGCAGGCTCTTTTAATGAGTATAGCCTCTATTTACAGCAGATAAGGGCATCTAAGACATTTTGGGACCCCAGGACGTCAGGCTGGGGGCTGCTGCGAAGTGTTTACTCAGGCTTCATATTCAAGCAAAGTTCTCCCCATGAAACTCATGGAGACTTTGCAGATCTCGGGCAGCTGCTGAACCTTGAAAAATGTTGTGCACTCTGGTGTGCCTGCTTTCCTTGAAACGCCAAAGGTAACCACCGAAAAATCATTAGCAGCACTACTGTCCATAAAATCATATGCTTTTTATTTAACATAAAATGAAACATTAAGATAAAATACACATTTGTCCATGTGCTGAAGAACTACTGTATTTTACATTCATTTATAAAGCAGGTAGTTTTACATGACAAAAATAAGTGAGGGGAAGAGGAACAGACTCTGCAATAAGACAAGCCACAGGGCAAGCTTTTGCTTTTCAAAGTGCTATCTCCTAAGGGCACACGGATCGGGAGCGTAAAGCAACGGGTTAGAAACAGGCTGGTTYTTAGCCCTCCCGGGATCCCTCCTGACACTGGGGAGAAGCCAAGGGGGAATCTTGCCCGGCAGGACGGGGACAGCCCTGTGTGCAGCAGAGCCCGGCCGAGCTGCAGCCGAGCTGGAGCTGGCCCGCGCGCTCTGTAAATGCCCGGGAATTCGGGCATTTCCTGGGAAAGAAGGAGCCACCAGGGCTTTTCTCCTGGTACAAGCCTCGCCACATGTCCTGCTTGACCATCAACTTGCCCAAGGGCCACGGGAGGGGACTTGGGACCGCAGCAAAGACTCCGGCGCTCCCGGCCCGGCTCTGCCAAGTGCAATCTCCGCTGCAGCCTCCGAGAAGCCTCAGCAAAAATACAGGGTCCAGTTAGATTGAGGTTGGGAAAAGGAGGGATGGGAGTTGCAGCAGTACCAGGGGATTTAGGAATGTTGTTTCATTTTTCTTAAAAAGTGCAGCAGATCAAAACACGTTACTAGTATACACTTCCTTTTCTATCCCATACAGGTTAAATACGAAAGCAAATAGAAAAGCGGCGATCCCACCTCAGGCCCCTGGAAGCCTCCACGGTGCCGCGCTGCCAGAGGCCTGGGGTGAAGCTGGTCTTACTCCCTACACCATACGTATGGAGTAACACAGTCCCCACTGTAGCTGAAATACCGCTCGGGGCGTGTGTACATGTGCACACGTATATGTGCACACACATCTGCGCTGCCCCCCCAATGCATATCTATATTTACTCAGTGGGACCTCCTTATAGTGCAACTGGTTGGAGGGAAAGCCCCACTCGTTGTGCAGGTAGCAGGTTCTAACAAAACATTCGGGTGCCTTTTCTGTTTGTTCTGCTTTGCTAATGGTTGAAGTGGTGTGAAAACACCCGGCGGCTGCTTTTGCACGYGGGAGAGTTTTACTTGGATCAGCGCCTGCTCTTTTCCTGCAGCTTCCTACCCCTGAAATCACAGCAGCAGAAAAGGGCTGTGGACACCTCCAAGGAACAGAGAGCATCCCTGCAATTGCCTGCAGGGAGAAGGGGGGAAAATACAGGTAGGAATTGCTGGTAGAGCCGCACGGACACGGCGAGGACCCCCGGGCATTTCCCATCTAACTCACGCTCCGAATGCAGAAAACCACGGCAAAAAGCCCCCTGCCACTGAGACCGGGCGGGCTGCAGCAGCGGTGCCTGGCGGAAATGTTCCCTGTCCSTAAATCCAGGGCACCGCGTGCCGGAAGCAGCACTGCTGTTGGGAATGCGAGAGCTCAAGCCACTGGCCGCAGTCACTGAAATTCCCGTGCACCCAAAACAAGGCCAAGCTCCCAACCGAGCAGCCCGCGAGCCGCTGGGCCGGGCAGCTTCAGCACCGGCCCCTTCGGCTGCAGAGAGACCGCGCTGGCCACGTTGCTSGGCCACGAGCTCCCCTCACCCCAGAGCAGCCCCTGGGTGCTCAGGAGCAGGACGAGGGGCCCAAGGCGGCCCCAAGGGGACCCGGCTCCGCAAAGCGGCCGCCGCTGCCCCTGCGCAGCCCCCAGCCCGGCCGGGACGGAGCCCCGGCCTCGTCCAGGGCTCCTTCACCATTATTACGTACTCAACTCCGACCAGCTCAAATACTTTTTAATACACTGAAAACGTAAAATAAAAGAATATAGGACATACATACAGTATATATACACACATATTTCAAATACTTAAAATTYTTATGTAAAATATGATTTTTTTTCTATATTATTCGTGTAAAAAATACAACTTTTAAAATGGTGTCAACTTGATTTTTCTGTACATACCCTCTATTCCAATTTAAATCCCTTTTAAAAAGGCAACAGACAAAGTTTTAGTATCATCTAAATTGTTTACAGGCCTGTTGTCAAAAGAAGAGCATTTAGTAAACAATAGTGGATTTTTTTTAAGAATTCCCATTTTTATTGCATTAATGGAAGGAAAAAAAAATCAGAATCTGTTCAGTTCTCCTGCCAGTAAAACTAAGCTTGGCCTTGCTGAGAAACTGCACACTCCCAATACCCTGTTCCTCTAGCTCATAAATCACCCTTTATCGCTTTTTTATAGATATTAAAAATATATATTACTTAAAATATATTACTGTAAGCTCTTAAAATTGATCTTCAGGTATATCAAACRTATAGCATTAAAAAAAACAGGCAAGGAGGAAAAGTGTGGATGTCGCGATGGTGGCGAACACGCGGGCTGCGCTGGCCGGGCGGGGGCCCGGGGGGAACGGAGGGCCCCGGGCCAAGGCCAGGGCCAGGGCCAAGGTTCAGGCCAAGACCAAGGCCACAGCCAAGCCTAAAGCCAGAGCCAAGGCTGGGGCCAAGACCAAGGCCACAGCCAAGGCCAAAGCCAGAGCCAAGGCTGGGGCCAAGATGAGGCCACAGCCAAGACCAGGCTGCAGGCAAGGCCAAGCCGCAGCCAAAGCCAGGGCCAAGACCAGGCCAGGGCCAAGGCTGCGGCCAAGGCCAGGCCAAAGCCAAGACCAGGGCCAAGGCCAAAGCCAAGACCAGGCCAAGGCCTCAGCCAAGGCCAAGGCTGCAGCCAAGGCCAAGGCTGCAGCCAAGGCCAGGCCGCAGCTAGGGCCAGGGCCAAAGCCAAGACCAAGGCCAAGGCCAAGGCTGCAGCCAAGGCCAAGACAAGGCCAAGGCCGCAGCCAAGGGCAGGCCTAGGCAGGGTGCGCGCGTGGCACCGTCGCTGCTAACCTCCCCTCGGCCCCGCGGGGCCGTCCCGCGCTCTGCTCCGCGCGGCCGCCCCGTGTTCCCCGCTCCGCGACGCCGGCCGGKGCCTCTCCGTCCCGGTGTCCATCGCGCGCGCTCTCCCTGCGCCGGCCGCTATAAAGTGCTATCCACCCTGGCCCCGGGAGGCCCACGCGGCCTCCCGGCTGCCCCTGCGTCCCTCCGCGCGCGGTGCAAAGGACTGTTTATTGCCCTGCTGGAGGGATCGGAGCAAAGRGGGGACGGGGCAGGGCTGGAGGCGCCTTCCCTTCCACACCGCGCTCTCCAGCAGCCAGAACCACGCCAGAAACGCTCTCCGCTCGCACTCAGGTATGAGTGATTCTGACAAGAGCCCCCCGGGTTTCCCACCTATCGAACGCCCCTTGCGAAGCTGCGCACCCCGAGACACTGTCCCGCCAGGCTCCGCGGCGGCAGCCGCTTATTGCAACCGCTAAAAGCAACGCCAAGCAGCGAAAAGAACTTGCGTCCGGAAAAGGAAGGGAATAAAAGGAGCCCGAGCAAAGTGCTGAGCGTCGAAATAGAACTAAGGCACTGAACAGAGTTGTAAACGTGCAGGTCACCCCGACGGACGGCGGCACCGGCCAGGAAACGCCTGGGGCCTGYGGGAGTATCCGCGGATCGCCGCTGCTTCAGCCTCTCCTCTCCTCGTGCGGCCGACGGGCAGGGACCAAGGTGCCCGTGTGGACAGTCCTGCTCCCTCTCGCCCTCCACCGGCTCCCGCACGGKCTGCAGCGAGCAACAAGCCCTAAAACGGGTGCTGCTGCCGTGGGCGAGCGAAGGAGCGTCTCCGAATGAACGCTATAATGCCCCAGCTCTGCTTCCCGCGCAGACCAACGGGCTGCACGGGGGGAACGGAGAACGGAAAGCTCCTCCATCAGCTCTTCCCCACTAAGGTGCCACCGCRTCGCGTGTCTTGCGATGTCAGCACTGCAGAAACTCAGGTAACAGGAGAGGGCAGCAGGGAGCAGGAGSTTCCTTCCAAACCAGGACCGTTCCCAAGGCCAAGCCGATCCCGGGAAGCAGCTTCTCCCTTGTGCAGAGCGCCTGGAGCTGCACGAGCCGGAGCTGCCCTGGGCTCTGCACACGAGTGCAAACCTGCTGCTTCCCAGCAACAGCCACGCGCGCTTGTTGCAACAGCAATAGTGGGAGCAGCTCCGGGGGCTGTTTCGTTGTTGTTCACTTGGTATTTAAGTGGCAGCCTAAAAAACACTGAGTGTTTTTAACAGCTCCCGTGTTTTCACCCCGGGCTATGCCCCAGCTGCACTTGGCTCCCGGGTCGATTTAAGAGGAATAAACCCAGGACAAGGATGCACCGCAGCGCTGGTTGACGTGCACCTCGCGTCCYGCCTTGCAGGGACCGTGCCCTGCCGCCAGGAAGGAAGGATCGGAATTACCATTCAATTCAATCGTATGAATCGCGTCCATGAATTTAATTGCATACTCTTTTTTTTCCCTGTTTTTCTCATTCTGGAACAACCCCCGCTGGCTTCCCGAGGGAGCCACCAGCCAAAAGGAAGAAGGGACAAGAAGAGGGAGGGCCGCAGGCAGCAGCGCCGCTCGTCCCACCGACGTGGCGAATATTGCTTCATCTTAGAAAGGCCTTTGGATTAAAAGTGAATTCAGTGCTTTTCCATCAAAAAAGATACAGAGATTTTTACCTGACCAAGATCCAGTATTCCCACCCGTGCCGAGCCCCCGGCAGCGGCACCGTGGCGCTGGGTGCCGCCGCAGAACCTGCCGTGCTCGCTTTCGGAAGAGCAGGAGTCCTCGCTGGGACGTGGACACGCTGGACACCCGATGCAGACCGGCCCTTGGGTTTCCTTTAGGCGGAGTTTAGCAGAGTTTCTCCATCAGAAACCCTTGTTCGGAGGATGCAGTACCACGTGCACGGGGCGGCCTCGCCCGGCGCTTGTTCCCTTGCCCTACACCTAGAAGGATCCGTRGAGGCGGCGCGAGGCCCAGCAAGGCCTCCGGAGGGCTGGACGGCACGGGGGCCCTCGTGGTGCCGGCGGGACGGGAACGGCGCTGCCGGCTCCCCTGGGATGTCTGCAGGGAGCAGCTGCCCAGCCGAGGGGCCGCACACGAGATGCGGTTCAGCGCGTGCCTCTGCTCTGAGCCCCGGACCCCGCGACAACCACGGCGCTACCGAGTGCCCCCTCGTGAATCCTCGCTCCTCCGGCTGGCATTACTGCCCTTCCGAGCGCGGCCCGGGAGCAGCCCAAGCTGCGGCCTTCCCACGGSCCCCTCCGCAAGCGGCTGCCCCCGAGGAGGCCGAAGCACCAGCCGATATTGCACAAGCCGGGCGCCCTCTGGGCCTCCCGCTCTGCCAAAGTGCACCCCAAATTCGGGCAATGCGGGCAGAGCCCCCGCGGGGCTGCACCCCGGGGCTCCGCACAGGGTTTCGTTCCGTATTATCCAGCTCTTCTCTTTGCCAAGAGCAAACCAAGAGGCTGAAGTTTCGCGCGGGGCTCATTCCCCCGCCTGGAGCAGAGCTCGGCGAACGTGCTGGAGAGCAGGCTGCGGTTAATGACACTGCAGTTCAAGTCAAACGCCATCTCCTAAAAGACTGAAAAAATACCTTTAACCAAAATAATGTGACATATTTACATAATTCCTTAAGTGCAAACTCTTGTCACGATTCACGTAGTTGAGCTCAGTTGAGACTCACTGTACAAGGTGCTCTTTCTTGAATGAAAGAAGATCTCTGCTCTGGATTCCTGATTCGGTAACGTGTCTCTTGTGCAAGGCAGTGAATCTCCCGTCTCCTCCCGCAGTCCGTGAGCCGGACGGCGCCTCCGTCCCCGCTTCACGGCTCCGTTACCGCACCACGAGGCAGGAGACGCAGAGCTTGGAGGGGCCGATGCAGTCGTCGTGGCAGAAGGCACCACAGCCCTTGCACATGATCATGGCTTTCAACCTGCAGTAACACTTGGAAGGCGAGTCCTCCATGCCGCTGTCCTCGGCGAAGGTCTGCACGGGCAGCGGCTGGCCGTGGCCGCCCGCGCTCACAGCCTGCCCGGTGGGAATGGTGGTGACGGTCACCGAGAAGGACATGACGTTGCCCATGCTGCTCGAGAGCTGATTGCACTCGGCCAGCCCGCTCACCAGGGCGCCCTGGCTCACGTCCGCGGAGGTGGAGACGTTGATGGTGCCGCTGTAGCTGGGCCCGACGAGCGGGGCCGCGGCGGCCGGCGGGGCCCGC